GGTCCTCAGGTTCCCCCCCATCCCACTTGCCCACCCTGCCCCCGCCCACTTGGCCACGCCCTGTCCGGGATCCCAGCGGGAAGCAATTACCTCGCCACCTAGAGCCTCTTAGATCTTATCCTTTTTTCCCTGTCTTGCACTTTAGAGACCGTCTATGCTTGTGTGGTGGCCGGCAAGAACGACAAAAACTGGCCTAAAGGTAGCTAAACAATTAGAATGTGCGGGAGCATTGAAACAAGCAATTCCCTTTCGCGGGAAACGATCGGGGAAATGGTATGGATTTACCACAGATGTTCTCAATCTAATTATCCTGTCGATCCCCTGGGTTTGAACTTTAAAAACTGAAATATATATGACCTATGTAATAGTCGAGAAATACATCTGGTTGGAATTCAGAGTTCTGAATCCATAGCAATATTTTAGATATAAGTTTGACGGGTATTAAATACAACGGTTCCGTTTCTAGTTATGTTTATATTTTTGCATGTTAACCTGGCTTACATTGGGTGGCCCAGAGCTTAAGCTTTATTTAAGTAAAATTTAGATTTCTCCTAACAGAGTTTTTGGGTTATACAAATTTTATTGCCCTCAGCTAGGGAGAGGGGAAAAAATAAGATAACTTCCAATGGCATAAAAATGTTCTCATTTCAGAAGGTAAATCACTAATCAAAAATTATCTTGGGTGAATGAAGCAACAATGCAAAGACCTGTGAAAAGATTTTGAAGACTGCATTTTAAATGTTTAGAACAAGAGTAGACATAAAAGAACAACTTAGATCTAGATGGTGGGGTGTCTCAGTAGGCAAAGCACTTGCTGTGCTAAGCCTGCTGACTTGAGTTCCACTCCAGAATCAACGTGGAGGAAGAAGAAAACAGACTCCTCAGACTAGTCCTCTGACCTCCACCCCCAGCTGTGGCGTGTGGGCCACTGCACACATCATCATCTTATTCATAATTAATAAATGTAATTTAATAAAGAACAAATTATAAGTATTTCAAAAGACTTTTTTTTCCCTTGCAAGTTGATGTTCAGCCAAAGTATTGTAAAACATGGACAATCACTGGCGTCTGAAGACAGTGGATTTACCAAGTTATGAACTGCTTAAAATATTTCAAAAATGGAAGGGTTTAAGGACTTCATTCTCCATCGTCACCCACAAAGATAACACAATGAGTGACCAGATCCTTTCAGAACCCAGTGAGAAAGAATGGCTCTGACCCAAGACCAAAAAAAAAAAAAAAAACTTGACATATAATTGATATGACTTTGAATGAAGCATAAGAAAAACAATCCAGAGGCATTTGGTCATTATTTTTTAATGTTTAGCTTCTCCCTTTAGGGGAAGAGAACTCACAGTTCCCAAATGAGTGACTAATTGCCACCCCAAACTTTCCAAATTAAGCCCCCCCCCCAGTCATCAAATGAGAGAACTGAACTGATCAAACAGACATTAATTTCTGGCACCTTTAAATTCAGTTTAGCACCAGAGAGGAGAACTACATAAGTAATGCAGGAACCCAGAGGTCTCAGTTTCTTCTGTGGCTGCTTCTGTGTAGCCCTGGCTGTCCTGGCACTCACTCTCACAGAGATCAGACTGGCTTCCAACTCACAGAGATCCACCTACCTCTGCCTCCTGAGTGCTGGAATTAAAGGCGTGTGCCACCAACACCCAACTCCCACAAATAATCTTAATCTCTCTGGGGGGAAAGTCATTATGCTCTGATTTCTTATTTGTTCCCCTAGAAATTTTCTCCCCAAGAAACACCAAAGAATAGCTTTACCAAACTAAAATCATCATAATAATCCCCAAATCTTCTAAACCATATGTTTTGAAGGATAAACACGGAGATACTCATTCTAAAGACTTAATTCTTTTTTTTTCTTTTTTCTTTCTTT